TGGTTTCGCATATCGACAGACGTTCGATAAGTTTGTTGAACGATTCTACCTCCTTTCGCCTGCAACCTCCTATGCAGGCGACTACACCTGGACCGGAGATGCCAAATCGGGTGCGAAGCAGATCTTGAAAGACACGAGTATTCCAGCTGAAGAGTACCAAATGGGAGTTACGAAAGCATTTATCAAAGCACCAGAAACGTTATTTGCTCTAGAACACATGAGGGATCGATACTGGCATAACATGGCTATTCGAATCCAGCGTGTCTGGCGAGCTTACCTCCGCATTCGTGCAGAGGCTGCCACCCGGATTCAGAGGATGTGGAGGAAGAAGAGAGCCGGAGCTGAGTTTTTGGTTCTTCGAGAACAAGGTCACAAACTGCTTCAAGGCCGAAAAGAAAGACGCAGATTCAGTCTTCTTGGATCCAGGCGTTTCATGGGTGACTACCTCGGTATTGCTGCTACAACTGGCCAGGGATCTCGTATCCGCACCGCTGTTAACCTTCCTAATGAGAAAGTAATTTTCTCTTGTCGTGGTGAGATTCTAGAGACAAAATTTGGACGATCGAGTAAGCCGGTCCCACGGATACTGGTTGTCACAAAGAGCAAATTCTATATCATTGCACAGCATGTGGTTAACAAGCAAATTCAAACTGCAATTGAACGTGCAATTCCTCTTGGAGCTATTAAGTATGTCAGCATATCCACCAGCCAGGACGACTGGTTTTCTCTAGGAGTTGGTTCCCCACAAGAGCCAGACCCTCTCCTTGTCTGTGTCCTTAAAACTGAGCTCTTCACACATATGTCCAATGCGATGCCAGGCGGTTTCAATCTCAAGATTGGGGAATCGATCGAGTATGCTAAGAAGCCTGGCAAGCAGCAAATCATTAAAGTCATGAAGGATTCAACTATGAGGGAGGATTTCTATAAGAGTGCCACTGTCCACACGACTCCAGGAGAACCACCGAACTCCGTCTCTAAGCCTTTACCGAAGGGCAAACCTGTTCCTGCAAAACCGTTCACAAAAGGTCGGCTTATCAGACCTGGTGGACCTGGTGGACGACCTTCCAGGATTACCAACACCAACAGAAATACCACTCCAGTTGCTTCTGCAGTTAATCAGGTTAGAAATGTCCCTCCGCAACCTGCTGTTGTGCAGCAGGCTATTGCAAACCACACAAAAACCCCATCTACTGGCCATGCAAGAGTATCATCTCAATCCTCGGCCAGAGCCGTTCCTCCACCTCCGCCGCCGCCGCCGCCAGCGGCTGCCTCAAAAGAACCTCAGTACCGCGTTTTGTATGATTTCGCTGGTCAAAGCGCCAACGAGCTTTCTCTTAGCAAGGACGAACTTATTACCGTCGTCCAGAAAGAGAATAATGGTAAGCCTTCTTTCATACTATGAGTAGATAATACGGAGCTAATTGGACGCTTTTAGGTTGGTGGTTAGGCAAGAATGCTAGAGGTCAAGGTTGGGTCCCATCCGCCTACCTTAAGGAAGAAGCACCCCCTCCACCAGCAGCACCAGTAGTACGACCCACGCCACCAGCAGCGCCACCACATCCCAATGGCGCTATTGCGAAAGCAAAACCTACTCCACCAGCGCCTCCTGCAAAGAGACCAGCAGCTGGTCGGAAACCTCAACTGCCATTGGCGCCTAGAGACTCAGGTATGAGTATGAATGGTGGGAATAGCAGTGGCACAGATAGCGGACGGAATACCCCTACCCCCAGTCTTGCAGGTGGATTAGCGGAAGCTTTAAGGGCACGTCAAGCAGCAGTACAAAAGGGTGGGGATGAAGATGAGGATTGGTAGACCATGGGGAGACGTTGAAGAGGGCAATGAAAGGGAATATGTCTAATCGAGGTTATATTCTTATCCGGCATTCTTTCTCTTCCTATCTTCTCTGGAGAGGACAGGGAGGGGAAACGGAAGACACCTTACCCTGCTTTTTGGTTTCGTTTCATGACTTCACTTTCTGTTTCATATGATGATGATGGCTATGATGAGGGATTCTATATTGACGATGATACAGCTTAGAATGAAAAGGAATGGAAAATGTTTTCCTCAAGTCTCTGCCCCATCTTAACATATCTTCCCCTGAAACTTTTTGTCCTTTTCTTTCTTGTTTGAACAGTGTGAGATAGCGAGTGGTCATAAGAGGAAAAGAAGGGATGGATAATAATTTTTGTAGTTAACATTGATCTTTAGCGAATTTTAAAAATAAGACATTTATAAGGAGGATGAGATCCATAATAGTGGAGAAGTGAGTGTTTCTTACCAGTGAAGAGATAATAGAGGCTAAATCGAAGATAATACTTAAAGTACATTGAGCCTCGAGTTCTACAGTACCAGGTGAGGTGCTAGGCTGTTCTTAGGGATTGAAGCAAGAGTCATATCTAACATTAGGGAATCATGTAGCTCAGAACTATGTTAAAACCCCTTGAGCTCAGCAGTAGATATCTTGAAATTATTGAATTAATACTCTGAAGCGATAATTGAATGCAGGGGATTCCACCTTTACTCAAAGTGAATCACGTATGCCTAGCAATTCACTGGCATATTCCTCCTGCTTTTATTTGCTTCTCCCCCCTCTTCTACACTTTTATATTATTTCTGTTCTTTACTACCAGTAAGCAGGATTTGCTTTTGCTAATGACTCGTTTGATAATCTCAGATCACAACAAGCCTCATTTCAATATATCAGCTCCTTTATCTCTGAGGCAACCGTTATGCAGTATTTGAGAGACAGCACCGCCAGGTGACCTGGCTTGGAATACAAAAACTAGCAGCGGATCAAGCAGCGGATCAGAGAGTATCAGCACGAGATGCCAAAGCCAAGATGTATATGGAGCATCATGCCACTCTCTAATGATAATGCTTCCTTTCGCCTCGGTTTGCGTTCGGATGGTGCGGTCCCTGTTCCGTAACCCGGCTTCGTCTCTGGCTCTTCTGGCAGAGCTCAGATTCACCATCACTCTTCCTTATGTAAACCATAAAAGGGGAATTAGACCCCAGTACTCCTTTACAGCAGAATGAGGTACTTTGGAAACTACCCAGGAAAATTGCATACGGTTACGACTGAGAACCAGGATGAACGCGATCATATCAAGAATCTAGTAGAGGGAAAGGAAATACCAACTCACACCGAAGCTATACGGCTAACAAAAAACCTCATCTACCACTTGACAACTGTTCCCGCTACCGCAAAGTTCTCGGCATCAGCTAAATCATTCTTTCCACAAGGACTCTGGTAGCAGTCTCATACAGTCCATCTGGGGTCAGGCATCATTACTTTTCTCTACCACCAGCAACATCACAATGTCCCTCTCCACACGAGAACAATTACTGAGGAACACCAGCCGTATGATAGAAGTGTCGCAAGACGGAAGAGCACTCAGTACTTGATGAACAAGCGATTACAGCAATAGTGCGTGAATTGCGTAAGGTGGATAGTGAAATACCTTGATTACCGACGTGTGGTCTGCCTAAAAAGCAGATCACCTAAGAAAAACAAAGATGTGAGAACACAAGAGTATCTAAACAATATCTAGCTAAAAGATCTGACCTATTCTTGGGAGCCAAAAGGGACATGGCACAGGGTTCACGGAGATAGGGAGTCGGGGACTCGTGGAGGTTTTCACATTGATTTGGCGAAAGCCTCTGACAACAAATACATTGCTAAAATACTTACTGCAGTGTCTTCATTCACAATCGAGATCAGTAAAAACAAACAAACAACCGACCGACGAAGCGTTGGTCTTCGAGCCATATTCTTGTTGGAGCCCTCAGAGAAGATTGCCCAGAAGGTGAAGATGCTCGTCATACGAGAATGGCGAAATGATATACGGAGCGAAGTGATGTATTCAACTATCTACTGAGAGAAGTTACTCTTCGCGATGCACAGGAATGAACTCAACGGTCTTCACTAATCCTAATACAGCTATGAAGGTGTTGGCTGAATTCAGCTATCTAACATGTCCGCTCAAACTCTGGAAAGGGGCTGAGCGTAGAACCGGGAACAGGGACTCGATTACCACACCATTTATATTCATACAAGACAATATAGGCCATATGAAAGGTGCCATAGTTAAGATGGTCATGACTACACGAGACCTGTTACCAGTCTTCGAGTTAAAAACATTGGACAACTGTCACACAACACGGACCTTAGTCCATTTTAATGTCGACATTGCCGATGCAATGTTTGAGATGGTTATGGCACGTGATGAAGCAATGTATATCAGGAGGACGTCTGGTTACACGAAGGCAACGGAGCCCTTAGAGTCAACGTGGCAATCACCAGACCCAAACAGCCACCAGTGCTGTTTGGCAATTTAGACTTGTGGCGAACCCGATTTGACTCCTTGTCCAACAAGTCCCGGAAATTTGCAAAGCTCATCCTGGACATTGTTGATCAAATGGATGTCTTCGATCTTGAGCACGTCAATCAATGACAAGAATATGGAATTTGAACCAGCACGACTTCACCTAAACCCCATCATTGCGATACTCCATCGCCCTTAAGTTTGAGCGGCCATTGTATATGTGTAGTATATTTACAGGCTCCTTTTTCTTGGATAACCTCATGGTCTGATTGGAGAGAGCCTATTCCACGGAAGTTACTCAAAGAGAGTCACAGCTGAATCAGATCTACTTATTTCCCATGAATATCTATGATATAATACCAAATAAAATCTTGAAGTCAACTTGACGATGTCCATGTCCATGTCCAATAAAAAAGATGAGAAACGGTTCCTCACTTCTACTACGAGCAGGCCAACCTGACTCCTCCCACCCAACCATGAAACCCGTACGATATCCCATATGCAATGTACTGTGTATACATTTATATCAGCCCCTTATTTCCCTCAAATAGTGCCAATTCCCTCTCACAACCAGCGACCTCTTCCTCGCCTGCCAAGACTCAAAGCATATCAAGCTCACCAAGCATCAATACCAACGTCGACAAAAAAAGAACGGCGACAAAATATAATGCCATATAGTCGTGCTGAGGATCGAACTCAGAACCATCTCGGATCAAGGGGTGTTCAGTTTCTGTGAACGAGATATCATAACCATTAGACCACACGACTAGGGTTCAGCCAAGCGAGGAGCTTATTGAGTCTTATACGATGGGAAACTAGGGGCAAGAGAAAGAAAGCATTAAACTGTTGTGGATTCTCTTATCTCGGCATCTATCATTCTTATGTAATCTTTTAGGTCTGAGGAGGTGTAAAAGAAGTAGTGAGTCTATGTATAAACGTGTTGTACGCTTATAAATCTTGAGTTCAGCTTTCTAATTCTATCATATATCATTCTGCAAAGAAAAAGCATGAATCACCGGCATGATTGCATGGGATATTACGATGCTCGGGGTGCTAGTCATCTAGGTAGGGATGTGGATGAAATCAAGCCATTGCTGTTGTGATGCCCATGACAGTAATGACAGTATCACTGGCAGTAATATAGAAATGACAGCAACTAAACATATCATATGATACATAAGCTTAACTTATATTAAAAGACTGTAAAATATTCGACAACAAAAACCAAGATGACAGTACCGGTCAATGGACTGTTGCAATCTATATTGCCCTTGAAGCAAAGATGTGCCGGCGAACTCGGCAAGACGCCATAGCTGACGATTAGTCAAATAAAATAGGGATTGCAATAGTTGATGTACATTAGACATGAAGTACGTAGATGTTGATTATCCGTATTTGAAAATGGTTCTTGTAAACCCCGAGACTTGGCTTCTATATATTCCCAAATAGGAAATCACCACTCCAAGGAACAGTGAACAGCGCCTCTCATGGCAGAGTGTCAGGTCAATCACTGTTCTGGAGGTGGGATAACGGAGCCAATCCTAATAGTGGTAAAACACTGATATATTAGGGGAGATGTAAGGCATACAGCACACGCCACGAAGCGATAGCTATATGGCCCGAACTCTTTTGTCGTCTGGGCCCTCATTATTTTTTTATTCAGAAGGCAATATTTTATAGTCTTCCTTTCTAGTGCTTGTGTCTAATGATGTTAGCTTTTTATGAAAGACAGATTCACCAGAGTAAATCATCTGACCCATATTCCTAGACTGATTCGAAAAGGATTATCATGACAGCTCCTGAAAAGGGGGATAAAAGAGCGCAAGGAAATAAGTTACATAGCACCAACATTGCTCCAAGGTAAAAGAAAATGCACCAAGCACAAATGAGTATGGATAAAATTTTGATTTTTGATATTTGGTATTTGATATAATTGAGATCTCTTTGGGTGTGGCCTGACACAGGAAGAGCGGCCCTCTCCTATTCTCGTCTCCCAAAACAGTAAATTCCCGGCCAAATATTCCCACAGCAAGGTATTGTAGACAAGAACTCCATCCAGTGTGATATTTGTGAGATGAATATATGGTAAACGGCTAGGGCCTTATATGGATTGTGTATATATATGGAGATTTCATATGCTCACCCACCGTTTCCCTCTCATCCCGTAATGTCCGCCGCGCCACCGTTTTGTCTCTCTCGTCTTAAGCCGACGGAGGAAAACCATGACAATAATAGTAGTAGTTTCTTCCCAGAACAAAGACACCCAGTATTCCCATGAAAAAAAACTTATTTCCCAACCCAGAGAGAGAGATGGAGAGAGATGATATTCATTCACATGTAGTATTCCCGAAACCCCTCCCGAACCCCCACTCCCGGAAGTATTTGCCCTTAAAACTCCTTGACAAGACAACTCCACGCTGAACAGATTCTTGAATAAAAGGAAAAATTATGATAAAAACGATTGAAGTAAACGCAAAACATCACAATGTCGAATTAATTAATAACTTAAGTCAACATGCCCCAACTGAGCTATTATCTTGTCTTCTTCCGACATTGTGATAGTGGTCGTCCCACTCTCGGTTGCACTGGCATTCGTGGCGGAGGTCCTGAGTCGCACTTCCGACTCCTGCTCTGTTGGCTGGACCGGCTGTACGCCGCTGGCCGAGGCGCCTTCATCACGCATGTCCTGGAAGCTCCAACTTGGTTGGAAATTCGGACTGTTCCACGCCCGCTCGACCCGTTCATACAACTCATCGATCTGTTCCAGACTAATCTTACTGGTCTCGAACACCATCGTCCATACGAAGATACAAGCAAGGATGTTGAAGGTTCCCCAAAGGAAAAAGACCTTGATACCGAGATTGGCGGTGCCTGGTCCGGCGGTAACGAGATAGGGTGTCCCATATGCTATGCCGAAGTTGAAGAGCCAGTTGGCAGAGGTGGAGATCGACATCGATTTGGCACGGACTTTAAGGGGGTATATTTCTGAAGTAACTACCCATGCAACAGGGCCCCAGGAGGCTGCGAAAAAGAAGATGTAACAACAGACGAACGAGATAAGTACGAGGTTTGCAGCTCGAGAATCCGGAACGGCTGTTCCAACAGCTGCCATGACAAACTGGCAAATTGACATTCCGGCGGCTCCGACCATTAGGAGTTTCCGACGACCAAGTCCTTCGACCAGAACTATGCCGGGGAAAGTGGATACAACGTTGACGACGTTGGTAATAAGTTGGATGACAAAAGGGGATTTGATGCCGATGTTCTTGAAGAAGGTGGTTCCATAGTAGAAGATGAAGTTACAACCTGTAAGCTGCTGCAAAATCTGCAATCCACATCCCGTCAAGAGTCGACGGCCGAGATGCGGTGATCCAAAGAAGGCATCGCGGTATGTCGAAGGACCCAAACTCAATTCGTATTCGTGGTTGGCTTCGATTTCTGCGAGTTCTTCAATTAAAGCTGGATGGGTAATATCCAGCCGGCGAAGACGGCTTAAGGAGGAGGCGGCTTCAGCGTGAAGGTTTTGTTTGATGAGATAGCGAGGAGTTTCGGGGAGGAGGAGAAGACCGACAAAGAGAATGCCGGCCCATACAAACTGCATGGCGAGAGGGATGCGATAGGCCTTCACGCCATTGATGTTACACGTGATGATGTTGACGACTGAGGCGAGGAAGATACCGGTGGTGATGGCCAACTGGTAGGCACCGACTAGCGTTCCACGGATCCATTTGGGCGCCATTTCGGACTGGTACAGAGGGACAAGGACAGAGACGAGACCGACTCCAAGACCAGCGAAGAATCTATTTGTTGCAAGATGATATTAGTGTATGTTGGGCAGGTGATCGGAGGTGGCTGAACAGTTTGATATTGACAAAGGAATGAGACTTACCTTCCGCTCAGAAGGACGGGAATATTCATCGCTACAGTCTGGAGACATACACCAAAGGAGAAGATGATGACGGCAATGAGAAGGGAGAAACGACGACCGAATCGATCGCCAACAGGGGCTGCTATGAGAGCTCCGAAGAAGGTACCAGCACTCAAGATGGCCACGACTTGCGATGACTCGGCGGGCGACAGGTTCTTCTGATGATCTGCTGGATCGATGTAGCCGCTCGAGAACTGCTCCCGAAAAGCATTCATAGCCAGAATGCCAGATATTGTCCTATAGGAAAATAGATAATTAGCCCATGCTTATATCACACCTTTAAACAAAGCTGGTCCTATCATCCACATTGGCCTCCATTATCACCCGTCTTTTCTCGCATAATTTCCACTTCTTTCCCTCTCTTTCTGCCTACACTCTTCTCATACACTCCATCTCCTGCTCAACCTCATGTTCTAGGTACTCACCCTGTATCGTAACCAAATAGAAGACCTCCAGTCGCGACGAACAACCCGACCATGATCGCTGGAGCCGAAGACCCAGCGACATTGTCGGGCTTGTGCCACGCCATGGCTATCGCCATGGTGGTGGTAGTGGTGGACGTTTGCTAGTCAAATCGGCAGCGGGCAACGGACGATCGTGGAGGCTTGCAATTACAACCTCTGATAGACGCTCTTTTCGCAGGTCGACCTCGAACGCACAACGGCGCGAGACTTTCAATGACGGAGAGCCGGGGGAAGAATCGCAGGAATCAGCATCTCTAGAGGATCCAGGGACGTGTGCCGGTGTTACTGCTTAACACCATTCTCCAGACGGCTCTCGAGGGGGGATTTGGTGGTTGTGCTGTGCGATGATGGGGCCAGAACAATTGAGGTTGTTCGATCGGTAGGTTTCGGTTGGAGATTGACGTCGTCGGAAGAAAGGTAAATGCGATGCACTTCTCGATTCTACTACCACAACGAGCGAGGCTCCGGGTGCACGATGGAGATGGGGTTCGAGACTCGAGTCCAGATCGCAAGGTGGATTTGGTCGGGGAGGAGTGTCGTAATGGTGATGATGATGATGGTTGGTGAAGATGGAGAAGATCGTGGTTGTCGAAAGGTCGTGGGTCGTCAGGGTCAAGGCCGGTATGGAATGGAGGAAAAAAGCCCTGGGGGGGCGGGTGCGGTCGCTTCAGCAGCAGGAGCAGCAGCGCGCAAAAAAGAAGGGCGCCGGGCTGGCAGAGACCAGTCAGCAGTACGGGGGAGGGGAGAGGGGTGGGAGAGGTTGACCGCAGCAGGCGTCGCTGGGAACGGGGGACGGTTGTTTGTGGGGAAGCAGCAGCGAAGGGGAAGGACAGCGAGCAGGGTGTAGGAAAGTGGTGCCAGGAGGAAGCAGCAGCAGCAGCAACAAGCAGGAAAGTTCGAAGGGCAGTGGTAAAATTACCGTCCAGCGAAACACCACCCAGCCGGCGTCCGCTGGTCCATCCGCAAAATACCTCCTTTCCACCCCCAGCGCCCAGCGCCCAGCACTCAGCATCCAGCACCCAGCACCCAGCAACCTTTCACCTTTTCGCACGGATTGGCACCTGGGCGCCATGCCCGCTTTCAGCCGTTGGCAGCAAAGAGCAGCAGCATGCTCCTGACCCAGGCTCAAAAGAGTGGACAGACAGACAGGCCACGGCAACCGCGCGACGGGGGCCTGGTTGGATGCGCCCAGGAGAGGAGACATCCAGAAGGCGTCGAGAGGCGTTCCCAGTGTCTGGCGGCTGGTGTCCCAGTGCCGGTCTGGAGCGCCTGTGCTGAGTCCCAAGTACGATCCAGGTCGTCCCAGCACTCCGTACCAGCAACAAAGCGTTCGATGACGGCCGGCCAGGGTGCCTCGCTTTCTCTTCGCAGTAATC